TTTTCACTATCACCATCAGCAGCCGAGGCAATCATAGTATGTTCCTTAGCATCTTCCACATCCAGCTCAAGCAATGAGAAGGCATTTGACAGGTCACTCATTTTCACTCAGAAAGATGCTAATCCTTGTTCATTAAGCTTCAGAAGGACTTACTAACAAAAGCCTCAGCATGCGTGATAGTCTGGTGGGCAAATTTGAAAAGAAATAAAAGAATTACTCCTGTTCAATTTAGCAGAATGATAATAATACAGAAGCTTAAAAATTCAAGACCAACTACTAAGCTTAAATGGTATATATAAATACTAACCCTCCTCCTTCCCCAGCCTCTCCCACAATATGTAATAGCTTAATCTCTTTAAATGGTTCATAATCCACTGTTGTTATGTACTTGAACGTGTTGCTTGTAAAGTTCCTCCAATTTTTCTTTAATATAATTTGTTTTAATAAAAATTGAGAAAATTTCCTCCTCTATTTGGTTAGTCTTGGGAAGCAAAATGAAAATAATCACAGTTTAAAAATGGAGTAAGAGATTAAGGGAAAAAAAAGGTCTACATGTATCTAAAGGAGCCAATTCTTTCTCAAACAGTCAGACAGAGGGTGCCCTTGAGGCTTGATGAAGCAAATGAAAATTACATGTTACGTGCTTTGATTCTTCTTTTCTTTTTTCTTTTTTACTTCTGTGTCCATAGCAATAACTTTTGTTTAAAATCTCGGCCATTTTTATTGGCTTTGCAACATATTTTAAACTTATATGGTGTCAGAAACACTCTCCTAACAGTTGGCATTAGTTTTTAATGTTGAGTGAAGATATAGTCCATCAATATTTATTAGGAACCAAGCTTAGTTTGTTGTTGGTGTTATTCTATGCAGTTCATCAACAATAAACAAGATTGATGCCAAGAATTAAGACTAGTTGTAAATGCAAATGAAGAAATTCCATCTCATACTGCAACTTCAAGTATAAATGAAAAAAATAAATCTAATATAAGAATGTGGCTCTCGTTACTTTCTCACAAGCTTGCATTGAACAAGCACATCAAGTCATTTTCTACATCAGTGCTAAATTGTGGACCACACAAGGCAGACGACTGGGAACTGGATTTCCAGGAATGAATAAAGTAGCAAAGGACCAAGTTGTTAGTGAGCAGGATTTGTTTGGTCCTCTATTTAGCTGTACATGAATTCTAGCTTGACCAATAGCTTGTTTATAATCTAGCTATATGACTTTGTTATTTTCTACGCATACTGAAACATTTAGGTCTAATTGGCAGTTGTGTGGAGAGGCCACCAATACACGCAAATTATTTTGGAGAACTATATTTTTTCCATCCGACGCAAATTCCACACATGCAACCCTCACTTGCACGAAGAAATGCGAGCTAAACAGGGCACTGCAATNTATATTTTTTCCATCCGACGCAAATTCCACACATGCAACCCTCACTTGCACGAAGAAATGCGAGCTAAACAGGGCACTGCAATTTCACTGTTAAGAAAGAAGAACAATGTGCAACTATGGCAGAACCATTAATACGGTGCGACCATCATACAATGAGCAGGTAAATAGAAAGTTGTGTGTCAATAATCCATCAAAATACATATAAATAATCTGAAACATGCAACCAACGTAACCTATCAGTTCAGCAAATCGTAACCTTTCAAAATGGACAAAATTCCACGATTTTGAACTCCTAAACATCTACTAACCTACTTTGTGTAATAAATTCATAATTTGGACTCAAATTTCAACGCGAGCTTGATCTAGATATTTGGAGTTCACTAACTCGTTGAACTACCGCATACCTCTCCGTCAAAAGTTTGTATTGAGGTTCGATTCACCCCAATATTTGGAATTCCGACCACAATTACCAACAAAATGATTATAAATCCTAATAAACTAGAACAGTGAAGATAAATTAACTGATTAATGGAATCATCAACAATATAAAGGAAAGCGTGCAGAGAGAGCGAGAGTGACTGACCAGTGCCGTTGGGGCTTCCAGCAGAGAAGGAAACTTTGGTTGCGAGACTGACCAGTCAAAACTTCCGATGCAACCTAAAAGCTATTATTATTATTTTTATTTATCATTTTTTTTTTGGGTCAAATTTGGGTACACTACTTTGCTTTCCTATTTTCCACTTTCATTATTTTGAAAATAATACATTTTTTTCTTCTTTTCAAATGCACGTTGTTCAACAAAATAATATTAGACAAAAATTCAAAATTTTTTTAATCACATAACTGCATCAAATTACTATTCCAAAGTGTATTCTTAGTTATAAAAAAGGCTGAACCATGTGCTTAAATTTACTTATTTACTTATTTCATGATTATCTAAGTGCCTGTTTGGCATCTCTTAAAATTTTAAATTATTCGCTATGGTATCATTCTCTACAACATATTCATACAATAAAATATTATACACATAAATTAGTAAAGTTTCTTTACTTTTTAACCACACATTTTCAAAAAAATACTATTTAAAAATCTTTATCTTTCCAAATAATAGGCAAAAAACCGGGGCTAAATTTACTTGTTTACTTATGGTCAACATTTGACGTACTCTGTTTCTCAACAACCATTGAATTTGTATTGGTTTTAAGAAACCAATTCTATCAATAAAATCCAAGCCAAGTAATTTAAGAAAGGGTGGGCGTCGAGTGGGTCAGTTCAAGTATTTCAATACTCAGAACCACCCATTATATTTCGAGTATTTTGTAAATAGATCCATTCGGTTCCACATAATTATTGGACCCAAACCCGAACCATCGGTTCCGATTTGGGTTCAGTTCTACCCATAACATTTTTTTGAATACGCATTTAGTGAATCCAATCATGTAATTAGACAAATTATTCATAAACTATCCATCGGTCATAGATTTAGTAACTAACATTAATGGACTAATCATCCTAGACATAAACAGAGCCATAACGAATTAGAAGTTACGCAAAAAAATTAATAAAATCGGCCTTAAAAGAGCATGAAAACCTAGTCAGAATAAAATATATATAAAAAAACTTTAATAGGAGTATAAGACCAGCATAAAGAGCCAAGAAAAAATAGTAACCTAAAAAAATCAAGTTTTTTGAAGTAATCATATCAATACACAAGAAAAATTCAAATGAAGACTTGAAGATAATATAATAGGAAAAAAAAAGTATGTCTTGCAAGAGTTACAAAAATTACTTGTGGTGTCGATGCAAGAGACAAAGCTATTGTAGCAAGAGTAATATTGACGAGAAGGAAATGCAAAGAGCAAACTGGGAAAGAAGGGCGGCAGGAGATTCTAGTGACTGAAAGAGAGAAAATGTGTTATTATCTTTACAGCTTTAGTATTGAGTTATACTTAAATTGCTTTTGGGTAAGGGAAAATTCCATTATTGAGATATTAAGTATGATATATTTCGAAATTAAAAAAACAAGTTTGAAAATTCAAAAATTGTATTTTTATTAAATTTTATGATTTAATTATTTAATTAATTTAATATATTTAGATCATAGATCTATACAATTTGGTCACAAATTAACAATTTATTATTTTTTGGTAACAAATCAAAAATTTTATGTCACAAATTATTTTACAATCACAATTCAAAAATTTTGCAAGTCACGGTTTGTTCATCAATCACAAATCAAAAAATTAATTAGCCACAGATTGATTTCTAGTCACAACTTATCAATTTATTAGTCACGAGTCAAAAATTTTATAGGTCACGTATTATTTTTCGATCACTGATAAATTTGTTTATAAACCACAGATTATTCATTGATCACAAAATCAAAACTCTTATTGGTCACAACTCATATATTCATTTCAAATTATTAGATTAATTGGTCACGATTAATTTTTTAGTTACAACTTAATCAATTGTAAGTCACAATAGCAAATTTTAGGTCGCATATAATAAATTTAGTCACGGTCACATATTCGACTGCATATTATTTCTGCATATTATTTACTGATTACAAATTAACAATTTACTGATTATAACATAATTGGTCACACGCACTCTTCTCCACCCACTTCAACATCACCAACCACCACCTCGCCAAATCCAACATCACCGCCAGTTTCACCAATGTCAAAACCACTCAAATCCCCAACAACAAACGACCACCACTACTCCGACAACAACAAAAAAACCATCACCACCACTAGCCACACTATCGCATCACCACCACCACCCCATAACTCGTAACAACACCACCATAACCCATCTCGCCAAAACGACCACCATAGATCCACCATCATCACCACTGATCAACAACTGAAACCGCAACCCACCACAGATCCACCATCATCACCAAAACCCAACACCGTACTGCAACCACCCTCAACCACAGCACCTTGCCGGATCCACTACTCTCTACTAGGAACACCATCACTACACAGATCACCATCCAAACCCTACCCAAACCGCCACCACACAAATACCACCACCACCATCACATAAAAAAACCATCCAAACCCAAAAAATTGCCACCAACCCAAACTGCCTCTCATTCACACACACCTACGAAGAGTCGTCGATCTGTTTTCCAGTATCATTTCACCAATGCTACTCGCAGTGATTCGCGAACCACAACTCACAGTGGATTTGCTACAGAAATAGGAGAGGAGAAGAGAGGAGAGGGAGAGTCATCGACGTCATCGGAGTAGAGAGTGATGACGGCAACATTGCTTCAATTGGCTTATCCGGCGCCGACGATCTCACTTTATTTCCTCACTGTTGATAGTCGGCTGTCGAGAGGGGAGAATAGAAAAAAATATAGAGAGAGTGAGACGAGAGAGAAATGTAGAGATAGAGTTTTGGGAATTAATTAGGGTTTGTGTGTAATGGTGTACATATATTTAGTAAAAATATTAATTAAAATAAAATCTCTAATTTTTGAAAGGTTAAACCACTCATCTTATTTTGGAATTGTGAATTTTTAAAGTATGTAATTGTGTAATTTTCACTTTGGGAAAAATAAATATATTTGGACTTAGGTAACTAAAATGGCCAAAAGCTTTGGAATGGATATTTTCTTTCGGCTGAATTGAGCAACCTATTTAGTGTTTAAATTATAAATATTAAATTTTGTAATTTTTTTATGCAATCCAGTAACTATTAAAAAAAATTATAAAAATATCAGTTCCATTCGGTTACCAACGGCTCCAATTCAAGACAAAAAATCAAACCAGGCCCACTCAGTTCTCGATTTTCGATTCCTATTTATTTCTTTCGAGAACTGAACCGGTACCTCCAATTTCGGTTCGAGAGATTCGGTTCCCGTTAAAATGCCCACCCCTAAATTGCATGGGAAGCTCTAAAAAATGTAATTCAACTGAAACTATAATTATCAGAAGTATCCATATCGAGAAAAAATCATTACTCTTAAAAATACGAAACTCTTCTTGTGATACGATAAAACGAGACCAAACTCAGTATCTTTTATCTCGCTACGCATGAATTTCTAGCCCTTGATTGAGCCTTATTTTATTAAAAAAATTCATTCTTGAAAAGTGTTTGATCTCATTTCAAGCACATATTTTTTAACAATATAATATTACACGCAAAATTTTTCTTTATTTTTTAACCATACATTTTTTTTATCAATACACTATTTAAAAATGTATTTTTTTTTTTTTACAAAAACGAGACTCAAACAAGGGCTAAACAAATGCTTCTTTGTAAATTGTTTCAAAGATAAAATTCAACTTGTAAAGTTTGATATCAAGAAACAAATATTTTGAGTGCTTTATAATCCGCGAATCCTACAAAATATATAAATTTTAAATGAGCCAAAAATTATAAATCCTAAAAAATATTACAAATAAACTCAAAACTTTATATTTTTTACCACACATTTTCAAAAAGATTACAATTTGAAAATAATTTGTTGTCCAAAATCTTACGAAGATGGAGCCCAAACAAGGGCTATGTTTGTTATGGTTCAAATAATATATTTTTTAATGAAACAATAAATAATATCCAATGATTCCAATCCATATCGCATCGTGTTATTGTATTCTCATATTCAAACGAGAAGGAATTGCATCCACACCTATTTTTTAATCTTTATTTCAATAATCAGGTGCAAATTTTTTTCCTTCGTAAATCAGGTGCACTCCACCCCCACACTCATACATTCATTGAAAATATCTCGTTACTACATTTCAACGATCTTTCTATTTTTCTCTCTACATTCAAATCCATAACTCTCTCTTCTATACTTATTGTTGAACCACCATCGAATTGGCATTCAACACATCCTAAACATTGGCGTTCGATGCCAAGCTACCTCGATTCCACTTCCCTCTCCATCTCCGATCGTGCAGTAGCCTGTCAGCTCCAGCCTCCTTGAATCGGCAACCACACTCTACCGCATCACTCGTCATTTGATGCTTGATGTCATTGGCCATTCTATTTCGTCACTGTTGAATCTCAACTCTATTTCTCTCTCCACTGTTGGCCCCATGGGCGGGAGTGAGATAAATTGTATTGTGACAAATGAATTGGGTAATTGTGATTAGTTAACTAAGTAATTTGTGATCTATTAAATGCATATTTGTGACTAAATATATAAGACTTGTGCCTCACAAATTGTGTTTTTGTGACTGTGATTTTTTGTGATTAGTACATAATTATAATCATAAATTGTGTGTTTATTGTGATCATGGCATGTTTGATTAATTATATATCATAAAATTTCATGTCATAAAATTTCATGGTAGATCACCAAATATAAGCAACTGATTTTTGAGAAATTTTATTATTTCTTAAATTTAAAAATGTATATAGAAAGTACAATAAGTCTTTGTTTGAGTCACATTATTTTTATAAAAATATATTGATGAAAAATATGTGATTAAAAAATAAAAAAAATTAAATTTACATGTAATATTATTTTATTAAAATTTGGGTAATCGAAATTATGCTAACTTATTGTTTAAAATATATATATTTTTAAAGAACGTCGGTCAAGCAGAACCTGATTATGCATTTTTCCAATCAAATAACCACAAGAGGTGGAACGCGACTCTCAGAAAACGGGCCGGGTCGAATCCCAGACGGGTGGGGTTTTCGATAATTGGGGCAAAGGGTTTCTCTCTTTCCTGCTACGCAGCCGCTCAAGAAGGAGAAGAAAATCACTCTTCTTCTTCTTTTACTCTTTCATTTTTCTACGACACTGTCAAATTTTGAACTGAAAATGGCTACACTTACCACTCCGCCTACTGCTGTAACAGATCCACCGGCAGCAGGTTCTAGTCCTGCAGTGGCTGAACCGCAGAAAGTGGATTACATGAACCTTCCTTGCCCTATTCCCTACGAGGAGATTCACCGCGAAGCTCTCAGTTCGTGCATTTTATCTTTCTTTTAATTTTATTTTAAATGCTGCCTTTTTTATCTCTGCTCTAGATTTTATTTTCACTGTTTGCCCTCGGCAGTTCTGTATTTTCTGATTCTACGAATGGCGAGGTGTAATATACAGTACGGAGTAATTATCATTTTGCATTAGACCCTAACTAATTAGTTTTGGCTGATTTTGATTTTCTTTGACTTTCATGTATTAAAGTAGGATTCAAGTGGAGGCCTAATGTTTTTCTTTAACTCGGGAGTTTTGTATAGTTAGGTCAAGAAATCAATGAGTGCGGGAGTGGGAATGCTCGAGTGAAAACTTCACGAGTGAATTGAGAATAGATATACTCGAAATGATAATGTTGTTTTATTGGAAGACTTTCATAGAGCTACCTACTTGTTAAAATAATTAAGACTAAAATTTCATCATTTTTATTCCTTGTGATGTGAATGCTATAATACTTTATCATAAAAATAAATGACAGTACATGGAGTTGCTTCCCATTCTTCTGCTAACAACACAATTATTTTCCATGCAACTACAAATAGTAACTAGAAAATTCAGAGTAAAGTTTTAGGGAGGAAAGAATTGCTTAAATAACCAAAGAGAAGTCTAACTCTCAACTACATAAAGGCCACACGAGGCCTGTTATGTTTGGCTCCACATGTGAGTGAGACTGACAATTAATGCGTAGGTGCAAAATAAGTTTTTACTTGTTTCTCTTGGCATTGGATGAGAGTAGAGCATGGGTTCTGTGAACTTGCTCTGTATCCTCCAGTTCTGGAGATCTTTATGATGCTGGGTCATGATTTAGGTGTCCTAAAGTGATAGAATGGGCTTGGGGATTTATCAAGTACCTTTTTCTGGAGTTCTAAATACCATTTTAAAATGAACTTTGCTTTCATAATCAAGAGACGTTGATAGGCAAGTAAAGGTAATCCGTGCCACTGTAGCCCCTGTTTGGTACCGATTAAAATCCAAATTTTAATCTAAGTTAAAGTCAACAATCAATTTTAACCACATATTCTATGGGTCCCTGCAACTTTTCAACTACACGTTTCATCAACTTTTATCGAAATCTACTAAAAATCCAATTTTAATACTACCAAACAAGGGCATAGTGATTTTATAGATGCATTAGCAAAAGGTTCTATATGTTTCTCGCAAATGTCGACAATAGGTTTACTTAATTTTGCTTATACTACCTGGTGACATTCCTAATACTAGTGGACAGTGAAAATGCCACAAAGAAATGAACATGGATATCCTTCAAATTTATGATACATAAATGGAGAAAATGCTGATAAAATTTCCTCTAAAAGGAGTTGAAAGTATAATGATGGCTTTATAATTTAGGTTATGCGTAATATTTACATGGCCTTTTGTTATCTCTGTTTCGTTGTCTCTTAGGTATTATCAGATATTAACGTTGGACCCTTAATGAAAAATAACCATCGATTGATTTCAGAATAGTATCTTATCCCTTGATTTAGAATGAACTATTCCTTGTGTTTCAAAATTCTCATCAGACGGTTAACATGTTAGTTATTTGAAATTTTGATTTGGTTAGATTCTATTGGTGAAATGATAATTGTATTGGATGTAATTGGCAGTGTCTTTGAAGCCAGAACTTTTTGAAGGGATGCGTTTTGATTTTACTAAAGGACTCAATCAGAAATTTTCACTGAGTCACAGGTGGTTTCCTGCTACTATATTATCTTTTTACTTGTATTTGTGATACTTTTTTATTATAATTTTTTTTGGGTGGGGTTGCCTTATCCTTCCCTTAATGATTATCGGACATGCATGTTTACCGTTCATCAGTGTGATGATGGGCCCTACAGAAATTCCTTCTCAGTCATCTGAAACAATTAAAATTCCCACTGCTCACTACGAGTTTGGCGCTAACTTCATTGACCCAAAGGTTTTTATATTTTCCCTTAAACTATTCTTTGCATTTACGTGTTGGCTTCATTCACGCATGGGAGCACTCTTTGTTCTTTGGCAGTTGATGCTTTTTGGGAGGGTATTGACTGATGGCAGACTGAATGCAAGATTGAAGTGTGATTTGACCGAGAATCTTACTTTGAAGGGCAATGCTCAAGTACAATATTCTATTTCTCAATTAATCAATGATCTCTTTCCATTCACAACTGTTCAAAAGCTGGTGACATCTGTTCATTTCTTCTGTAGCTTACACACGAGCCACATATGTCGCATGGCATGTTCAATTTTGATTATAAGGTTAGCATTTTAACTTCTTCAAAAGTGATAGCACATGGTTGTTTGGATGAATTTCAGGGATTCATGCAGTTATTGTGAAATCCTGTGTCTACATAGTAAGTAATGTACTTCTATATGGGTATGTCCAGCTGGCATGCAACATCATACACCACATAATTGCCCGCAAACGATGCCAGTGTAACGTTGGAATGACAAGTTAGGAGCTAATTGTATCCCCATTTTTACTTATGTACAGGGATTGGATTATAGGACTCAACTTCAATTAGGAAATGGAGCCTTATTAGGTGCAAGTTACATCCAGGTAAACTTATTTTCAAAATTTCATCTTCAATACTTGTACATGCACTAGAAAACTGGAGATTCTATTTATGGAAATATGTACTTATTGGCTTTATAGTGTATGTAAGTACAATTTGCAGACCTCTATGACCCGCTATGTGAATGATAGTTTTTTGAGAGATTGAATTGGACTGGGTATTCGTTGAAGCGGATGACATATTTGCGTGGGCATCCTGGGTTCTTTTCCCGTTAGACCATAAGGATTTACACCATATTGCAAGATTATGCAAGCTTGTTATATGAAATGCACCAATTCCTTAGCTAGCTACCCTTGAGAGAAATAAATGAATTCCAAAGATATCGGTGATGTAATGCATAGGATTAGAGTAACTTGGATGAAATGATGAAGTGCTAAAGGAATTCTACAGTGTCCATAAACTGTCTTGCCTTCTAGATCAAAGGATTGTAAACAGATTTTTATAATTTAAATAACGTTTGAAGCTTGTCATGAAAGCCTGCTTTATCATGCATTACTAATTGAAAGTAGGAGTGAATCGTCCAAATGATCACTGAACTTTATAAAAAGTTTTTAAGGGTTTATTGAACTTTAAAAATCATCTAAATGGTCACTGAACTTTGCAAAAGATTCCCACGAGGTCATTGAACTTTGCAAAAGGTTCCCACAAGGTTGACCCCTGGTAAATCTTTTGCAAAGTTCAGTGACCATTTAAATAATTTTTAAAATTCAGTTACTCCGTAGAAACATTTTGCAAAGTTTAGTGACCATTTAGGTGATTTTTGAAGTTCGGTGACCCCTTGAAAACCTTTTGCAAAGTTTAATGACAATTTGGACAATTCACTCTGAAATTAGAGAAGAAAGTTGGTTGTTGGTAGTTTCTTCATCATCGTGCTAATTATTTGTTGGCACTTTTGATAAATTGCTAACAAAAGTGCAGGACTGGAACCATACCGGATCAGACCAAATTGGCTGGTACTACTTAAGTTTTAAATAGTTTTGACCTTCCGGTTACTAGAACCCAGAACCAGTACGTTCGTTTTGGTTCTTGGTTTTAATACCCAGAACAGAAAATCCGAAATGAACTGAACTTTTAACATGTTTGGTTTAGTCATTTATATAACTTACTCTATATTTAATGTAAATTCTCTCATTACCAGTACCGAACCGACTGGTTCGTTCCATTCGGTTCTGTTCCATTATTACATTTCGAACCAATGGCTCCATTATATGATTTTCATTGGTTCTTGGTTTGATTTAATTGTGTTCAAAAGTGGACCTTGCTCACCCCTAATTTGTGTTGTCATCTTCTGGATTTTATATTTAATAACAACTTTTTATGAGATGCATGCTACAAACCATATATGAATTTCACTCTCTTGCATTTTTTTTGTTGGTAGTTTGATTCTTTTGAATAAAGATGGAACTTTTATATCTGAGAAATCAGTCATCAATGGAATTTGATGTACACTTGCAGAGCGTGAGCCCTCATTTGTCATTGGGTGGTGAGGTCTTCTGGGCTGGTCAACATCGAAAGTCTGGCATTGGATATGCTGCCCGCTATAACACAGACAAGATGGTACAGTTTTCAACTTTCTGTTGAGAGACATGCCCAAAATTTTATGCACCTTCATCTCACATATTTTTTGTATTCCACTTAATGTTTACACCTGATCTCAATCAGTTGGTGTTCCTCTTCGTTGCAAATATAGTTTTCAATTCTTCTTTAGCTGCACATTCAAAGGGGAAGAACTATCTACTTAGATTGTTTTACTTAGACCATTGAATAGTTCAATTTTGATGCAAATGCTTTTGTTTCACCACACGTGACCAGTTTTTGATGTGTAATTGTATTTGTTGTTTGACATGCAGGTGGCAACTGGACAAGTTGCTAGCACTGGTATGGTTGCTCTAAGCTATGTTCAAAAAGTATCTGATAAGGTGAAACAGTTAACAGTTTGTAAGATATTATGTGGTTTCATATGTGTGATTTTCAAATTGTTTGATTCCCTTTTCAACTTTTCTGATCAGTTCGTTGGTTCTCTTATATGTAGGTTTCTCTGGCTTCAGACTTCATGTACAACTACATGTCTAGAGATGTTACAGCCAGCTTTGGTTATGATTACATCCTTCGGCAGGTAACTTCCAATCTGCATGTTTTATAGAGTTCCATACCTTTTATACAAGTCTATCATCACTCATCTTAGTTTATGTGATCTGACATATTGTGAATGAGAAGGGAATGAGGTCAGATAACGTAAAATTTAGCATCGGTGTAGTTTGATAAGTATTCTCATCCTCAACCTAAGAAATAGTCAAACTTAAAAATGTGATAGTTAATCTGCTATTTTTTTTTTTTTTTTTGGTTACAACTCTGGGAGTTTTCTGTTCTGATGGATTATTTTCATTTATAAGAAAATATTTTACCTTGTTATGTGCTTTGGATATGATATTCAGTAAGGAGATTCAATTGCATCCGTAGTACACATCATTTTCATTGTTCGTTTGAATTGTATCAGTCCCAATTGTCCAGAATAGTTCTTTGATATCAACTGATTCTGAGTTCTTCTTGTGTTACCAAATGGATGACCAATTTTACTCATTTATCTGACAGTGTCGTCTAAGAGGAAAGATTGATTCTAATGGTTGTGTGGCTGCTCTTCTGGAAGAGAGATTAAACATGGGTCTTAATTTTATTCTTTCTGCAGAGGTAAGTATCAACTCATGAGAAGATACTTTTGTCTAATTCACAGCGCTGAACTGTATTCCCGTTTTATCCTTTTCTTTTCTTTTTCTCCAAAATCTGGAAGTCAACAGTTACATAATAGCCAATCATAAATTGGAAGTGGGCAACGTGGTGATGAATTGCAATGTTCTAAACCGTCGACTGTCGACTTATTTAGACCTGCCCAGCATGCCTGTCCTTTATCTTACCTTGAGTAGAAAGAGGTTGTCTTCGTACATCCAATCTTTCCTTGCTTTCTTTGCATTTCGGCATCCTTTTATTTGTAGATCAATTCATTTCATTCTAAAAGTGCAGAAGTAATACCGGGTCCTTAAGATAATTAATGAGACAATGTGCACATGGACGTGCAACCTCGCATTTGTAGGTCATTTACCTGAGAATGAGTTGCTTGATTCCTTGCCTTGTAGATAATATTGTGATGTGAACATGAAGAGTTTTTATTTTTCAATTATCAAATTCTCACTTTCTTTTGTTTCGTGTATTACTACTATGTCCTGCAGATAGATCATCGGAAGAAAGATTACAAATTTGGGTTCGGTCTGACAGTGGGAGAATAAAATAGGACGCCTAGCCATTCCATATTTTCAATATAAGCTTATTGTTGGAAGAGCATCATTACGAGGAAATTTGTCTTCACTTGTGATTAGTAATAGAGAATCGGTTTTTGTACTTTTTCGAGGACAGCACATCTCTGCTACAACGTGCTTAGAATAGCCTTAGTTGATTTTGCAACTTGGAAATATTTGTTAGTATCTCCTGCAGAACTGTAGATTTTATTGTATTACAGGAAAAAAAAAATCTATTAATTTGTTATGGTTGCATTAACAAGAAGTTGCCTTACATATATGTTATATGTATTGCAGGTTTTTTGAGAGTATTATTTAAAAGGGTAAAAGCCATGGAGTATTGAGGGAAGCCATGATAACATTTTGAATTTCTTTTCTTTTACTTTGGATGGATTGTTAGAATATTTTCACTGATACAGATGGGAGGCAACAACTTTGCCTTTTATTTCTTTTTTTTCGAAGTGTTTCTCTCTTCCCTGGGCTGGCGTTTTGCAGTTTGTCATGCTTTCTATTCAGGAATTTGTTCAAAAAGTCTTTGAAGTGAAAAAGCAAAAATGTTTGCTTATTTTGTTGGATTTCAAATGGCTTCTTAGGGATGCAAGAGTTGTCCATGTTGTGCATCAATTGTTCAACGCCCCTATCTGCTTGTGTCCAAACGGGGTTGTGAACGTTGCTGACAGAGAATGTTTTTGTCACATAGATGTAGGATGTCCACACGGGTGGGAATATGCATACATTCGGATTGACACCTTGGATGACATTTCACACACATGGGAGTGGGGTCATGATTATTTTATTAGGCTCGGGTCTCTCGCCCATGTGTGAGGAGTGTCTTTCGAGATGTCAACCCGAATGTACACAGCATTATTGTCAAGAAATATATAGGTTCTGTCTGATAGCGTTTTTACTTTTTGTTTGAAGAGTTTCATGTGAAAGCTACTTCAAATTATCCTACAAAACATGCATAGAATAAATATCCTTTTAATTGTCAAGTTAAAAGGTTTTTTTTTAATCCTTTGTTCAATTTACATGGAAAGTATGTATTTGAATATGCGTGTATGAGTCCAAAATAACACTACATTTTCATTAAATATGAAAATTAGGATACATTTGATTGTCAATATTTTTCATGGAAAATGTGTTTTTTCACTCAAATTCATACTTTTGTGCTGTTTGATTGTTTTTTTTTTCATGGAAAATATTTTGTTATTTTTGGTCACGTGATCATATTTTTCTCAAAATCAAAGAAAATATTTTTTTTAGAGGCAGTAAGATTTTATTTTCCAGGAAATTCACTTTCTCTTTCTCTCTCATCTATCCACCAATAAAAAATGGACAAGTATAATATTTTTTAAGTTGAAAATTAAATCAATCAAACAATTTAGGCCTTGTTTGAACCACATTAATATAAAAATGAGAATGAAAAATATAGTCGTTACATGTCACACACAATAGATAGATTTTGAAATATGATGACTTGATGTGATGGATAACGGTTATATTTTTTCATTTTAATGAGTAAATAATGGGAAACAAACATGGACTTAGCCCCAGTTTGATACCTATTCATTGGTAACAAAAATGAAAAATATGAACGTTATCTATCACATCAAGCCACCATATTTGACTTTCTATCTTTTGTATGGGTCCCATAATAATTATATTTCTCATTTTCATTCTTACAAAAAATGGGTGCCAAATGGGGCCTTAATTAATTTTCTTTCCATACAAATTTCATACTTGTAATCAAACGTATCCTTAATGTCTATAAAACATCCTTTTCTCAAGTCAATTTCAATACGATAAGGAGGAAATGGATTACGGGGCCACATAATTTGGCGTAGCAAATTAATTTATTTAATTAATGAAGCATTAATACTTAATAGATTGGGCCATCAATTTATTACCTAAATCTACAGACTAATTTCTTGTACAGATCACATCCTTATCTTTATCGAATATAAATTCTTGTAAATTTAGTGATTAATTCTTCTTCTCCAGTCCCATATAAGAATATATAATAAAATCCAAGAATAGGGAAAGGTATCAAATGCATTATTATTCAGACACAGACAAATCCAATATAGTTGACAAGTATCCTTTGAAGTGACAGAAGCCAATATCTGCATAAATCAGATTGCCAAATTGGATGAATAAATTGCAAGTGGATAAAGTTGGCCACCAGTGCCCACCACGGCAGATTTTGACCTTGAAAAATGTTGGATATTGGTTAAATAAATTGAGAATTGAAAATCGATTAAAGTTCGTATCGAATTCGGCCAAATACTCAAAAGCTCGATTAAAGTTTGTATCGAATTCGGCCAAATACTCAAAAGCTCGACTCAATCCGTTTAGGCAAAATTGTTTGCCACTTCGCCGCTTCGGGGCGCACAAACGGGGATCGACCTGCCCGGTCAGGTCGCGAGGGTCGAGTCGGGGGCAACGCTCCCGAAAGAGAATTTTGATTTCTCTGCATGTATTGAAGGGTACATTTGGCATTTCGAAAACCAATATCGGATGAATGAGAAATTACGAAAAAG